TTCTCTGTCCTTCCTCTCACAGCGATGTTACGAACACAAACAATACAGAAATGGGCTCAAGTTCTGCAAACAAATCCTGTCCAACCCCAAGTTTGCTGAGCATGGAGGTAAGCAGCAAAAATGTAGCTGTACGGAGAATTTTTCTTTTTCTTTTAAATGTATTTTCACCATCTACTGCATCCTTTTCTTGCTGCAGAGACCCTGGCAATGAAGGGCTTGACCCTGAACTGTTTGGGGAAGAAGGAGGAGGCATACGACCTGGTGAGGAGAGGCCTGCGCAATGACCTCAAGAGCCACGTCTGTATCCTTATAGACAGCACTGCATCCTCTGGGTTAAGCAGCTGTCGCTTTGAACTGTTAGCAGTGTCTTTTTGCAGGATGGTTGAAGTGTGGGATGCTAAAAGGACCTTGAGGTGCCTCACATTGTGTAGAAGAGCCCTGCTCTCGGTGGAGCACTGTCAGCACATTCTCTCTGTGATTCTCTTGCAGAGAGTGAAGTCTGTGCACGTTGCTGGTGGATGAGGTCTATCTGAACCTAAACTCTGCCTGAAGTCAAGACAGAGCAGCTCTCTGCAGATACACTGTTATCTCTTTAGCTTCCACAGTAAGTCAGTATCCAGGGCATGTTTCCGTCCCTCAGAGGGCGTGTTTTGGTGCACGCATGCAAAAAAAAAGTTTTCTTTTAAAATAGCCGAGGCTTTTCAACACTTTAGGATTTTAAATCACGGCGTTACGCGTTGCATAAGCTCAGAATTATGATTGGTAGTTCATTTAGATCATTGCTTTGTCATTAATCAGTTTTTAGAATAATCATGTTCAGCCACATTGGCGATGAAGCCTGAACAGCCTCAGAAACAGTATCCTGTTTTATGGATTTATCTCTTACTAGCCTTTTAGATTTGCCTCTCCCTGCTTTAGTTTCTGTGGTGCTGGATAAAAACTTCATTAAAACACTGTTTACACAGAATTTGGACTTGGCAGCACAGCAGCTTGTGCTAGTAGTTTTTACTTTGTGTTCGACCCACATTGAACACAGCGTTGAGATGATTTTTTGAACAGCATGAACAGATTCATAGTTGGCTACTGTTGGAGGTAATAGCTTCTTTTTCCCCCCTTTGTTTGCGCAGGAGGAACTGTAGGAGCCATAATTGTTACAACTCGATTTAAGGATCTTTTTTTAGCTCCTGCATACGGATAGGAAATTTCCCAGTATTCAGACCTTTGAGTGTAGGTTACAGTTACTGGTCCAGCTCCTAATGTTCATGGATTGTTGGGACACATGAATACAGCACCAGAAGCAGCCATTAAAAACACAGCTTTTAAAGTTGTTTTTCTAAACTAAAAGTATTAAAGTAGCTTAAATGTAATTTTGTTGTGTCTCAAGGTAGATCATTCAGTGCAGCCTGTTTTATTAAATCCTCACACTTAAATTTTTGTGGGGAAAATTGGTTAAAGATTACAGCAGTCTAATAAGATGCACTTTATCTTATGCGAGGTCCATGTTGGCCCAGCAGTGCTGTTGTTGGACTACGGAAAGGGTAAGAAGCAAGTTTGATGACAAATGGCGTGAGAATAACAATTACCGTATTT